TGACCACTTCTATGGAGCACAAGACTGTGATGGCAGCACCAGCTTAAATTAATGAAAACTACATTGTAACATTAAGTGTTAAGCCACTGCCAAGTACTTTTAAAGCAAGGCTGAAACTGGAACAGGTACTTTGGTGCCTACTGCCTATCAGTTGAAGCGGGATTTGCTCAGACAGTAAGCCAGCCCTTCAAAGTTTTAAGGCTACATTTAACTAAATTTAACTAGTTCTCCTTCCCCTCTACACTGCCCTGGTGAGGCCTCATCTGGAGTACTGTGTCCAGTTCTGGGCTCCCCAGTTCAAGAAGGATGAAGAGCTACTGGAGAGAGTCCAGCGGAGGGCTACAAGGATGGTGAGGGGACTGGAACATCTCCACTACGAGGAGAGGTTGAGGGAACTGGGCTTGTTCAGCCTGAAGAAGAGAAGGCTGCGAGGGGACCTTATAAATGCCTACGCTTCGGCGGGGGGGTTGGACTAGATGACCCACAGAGGTCCCTTCCAACCCCTACTATTCTGTGATTCTGTGATTCTGTAAACAAGGTATTTTATAACATCAGAAAGATTATTTGGAATCTCTCATTTCAATTTCTGGAAGAAAGCTGTCTTTCTGCGGAGCTATTAAAAAGAAAAAAAGGAACAATTTGTTTTACTGTAACAAAAAAATAGGCTATTGCTATTTAGGTGCTCTAAACCATGATGCAGTTGTTCTTGAAAACTCTCTTGAAGAAAGTCTGTCTTAGATAAAACAGTTTTGGAATTGAGAGCCTGAAGGTCATCTATGCTACAGAGCTGCTGTCATCCTGCCACAAGTGACACAGACTCAACTGTCTGCCTGTGAAATCAACCTAGTTGCACTTGCACGCAGAAAAAGGGATGATACCTTGAACAACATTCTAGAACTGCTTGCACTATTTACGTAGCCTCAAATCTACCTCTACAAAATTAATTTGGAAGCAGCGCTGGTAATTTTAAGTTTTGTTTTTTTTTTTTTTTAAAATATGTTTCTGAATTGATGAGTAGCACATGCACCAAAGCTTGCAAACCTTCCCCGTTCCCTTCCAAGCACACTTCTCCGGTCAGTTTTGGTGAGCTCACACCACATCTCTCAATGGCTTTTTATTGTACGTGAGTAGGCATCATTCACTCTGCCAATCCAAACTCATTAGCTCTGTGTTCCTTTAACTCAGCTCTTGCCAGCAGAAAACCCCTCTGCTGCACCTTTATTATGAAGGGGACTTCCTGAGGCACAGACAGATTATGGATTTGGCTCACCACATGACCTTCATCTCCAGAAAAGTTTTGGAACAGATGCCTGAATTGGGCTCTCTCCCTCTGTGTTTTTTTGGTTTTTTTTTAAATCTCTTTGACTGTTCTTAGCCCAGAAACTGTAGAGGGAAATTTGGTGTACCTTCGGACATTTGACTTGAACCAGATGTAGTCTCTGCCTGTAGCTTTACTGAAGGTGTTGCCAGCAGGGGCACAGGAGGAACACTATACTTGTGGTGAGTATTTTTAAGTAACTCGCTTATTTCAGATTCATCTTCTAAGCAAGTCACTAAGGTGTACACCACCGGTTCATTAGACTCTGCAGCTGTCAAGGACTTCCCAAAGAGGAATTCAGCAATGTGTAAACGACAAGCAAGAGGTAGATTCTCGTTGGTGGAATAAAATGCCACAAGCGGTGCCTGGAGTGGATACTTGTTTTCCTCAGGAAATCTTACTTCAAGTTCATATACGGGACCATCAGTGTTAGTTCTGAGATGGGCATCATCTACAGAGTTCCTGGCTGGTTGTAGTGGGTGGTTTGGAGGGAATTCATGTCCAAATCTGCATTTTGAACCAAACCTGCAGCCTCCTTGGAGATAAAATTTACATATTTCCTTTGAAGTCTGCTTTGCTGTGTCCATAGTACAACCACTCTTTTGTTTAGATTTGCTGAGCCTGTTTGCTAGGTAGTCCAATTCCAAACTAAAAGTCCAAACACGGTTTTTAATTCTTTCTACAAATTTTTCTCCATAGATTGACCGTAGGGCAAAAGCCTCTTCTTGTCTCTGTTCTAAACATTCCTCTGGACTGGCTTCAGCAGCTGTTGCAGAAACCTGCATCTTCTCTCCGTATCTTTCGGCAAAGCACTGCAATAGCAAATACTCCAATGAAGCCCCAATATTACCATTGCAGGATCTCAGTACTGTCCTACAACGCTCACTGTCAAAACCATACCTGCAATAAAACAGAGACAATGTGGCAACAAGTGAGTGACAGAGATTTGTATGAAGGAAAATAACTACAGATCTGCTTGATTAGGCTTACAGTAAAGAATTATGTATGGCATGAGATACTATTACAACTACTGGGGGAAAAACCCACATCAAAATACCTACGCTATTTTAAATGACAGTGGCAGGCGGTCATTTGGTGTCTGTGAATGCTAGTCCATTGTTTATAAGGTGACAAATTAGTTTATGTGGCAACTATCTCACACCTCAGAATGTAGCACATAATAGTTACAGCATTAGGTTTCCCAGCTGAACTACATAAATTAAACTCTTCAGAAAAAGCTGAGTCCTCTCACATATAAAACTCTCCAACAAAGCAAAAATAGTTAATAAATGCTCATATCTGGATGAAGAACACTTGGAAGGTTTTGAAACATTACCTCCCTGGAAGAAACATACATATACAGCAATGCTCCCCTGAGCTTTCCCAACATCTGTTTCATTGTCTTGGAGAAAGAACTGAAAATTTCACTGAAAAAAGGCTGGAGTGATTTATTTTCATAAAACCATTCATTTAAATTCATCTTGCTGAGGATTAATTAAATTTGTAGGAGATATAAAGTCCTCAGTTCTGCACAAAGAACTTCCCTGGAGTCAAGAGGAAGTCCAAGCACTGAGGGCTTACAGTATCGAGACTAGTGATTTACCTCTTCAGGATACAAATCATTCACTGAAAAGCATCACCTGGAGAGTTTGTGCACAGCAAACGAAGACACTTCACTTTCCACAATTCTGTGCTCAGCTGGCTCAGCAGACGACCCTGGTATTATGTCAGAAACTTCCTGATCTGTTGACCAGCACTGTTCATCATCAAGGTAGTCAGGTTCATCATCATCTTCACCAGAACCAGCTACTCTGATAAAAACATTTATCAAATTAAAATGAAACAAAACTATACTATTGAGTAGACACAAAACTCTGCCTCCACAGTTTTAAATCCTCCATTTAAATGGAGGATTCTGCTACCCCTTTCCCAGAGCTAACACTGTATAAGAACAAAGCAGACTCAGAACCACAGGATTTGATATCAAATTAAAAGTGGAAAAAAGAATACTGTTTGCATTTCTAACAGTCTGCCTCTTAAAGAGTGCTCATCTAGAAAAGCTAGAAGTAGTGCCTCCATTTAAACTAACTCTGATTCAGGAGCCAGTTCCTGCCCTTGAAGCTCCTGAAGAAGTTCTTTCACTCTTCTCTGATTCTCCGATGTCATGTGTATGGTTTGCAGAGGCATTTTCACTTCAGGTCTCTGTTTCGTTTGCCCTCCTCTTCTGGCAGGGGCATTTGATCTAAAAAAATAGAACATAACAACGACTTATTTGCCTGGCTTACATGATCTTGACTGAATTGGGATGTGTTAGGACCCAACCCTGTGACTCAAAACAAGAAAACCAAAATAAGACAATTCTGTCACCAAAGGATTATTCATTTGGGCTCATTCTTACCTGACCAGGACATGTGTGTCTATATCTGTGCACACACAGGCATGCATATATGTATTTTATCCTATGTCAAATCCAAAGTGATTTAATAAACAGTTTGCTAGGTAAAGCTGTTCTCAGAATACAGTACAACCACATATTTCTAAGCCAGATTCGTCAGAATACATTCAGGATACTAAATTAATTCTGAATTGCTTATTTTCCATGGCCCACCTTCTTTGTAATACACAAAAATGAATATCCTGTGTTTATTAGTGTTTTCTGATCACAGACATTCTGAAATTACTTTATGACCAAAGAAGAAAATCAGAGGTTCTAATATTTTTTAAAAAGCAAATTCCCTAGCTATAAAATGTTAAAAGTGTTAATGAAAAACAGACACGTAAAAACTGCTTCATACTGAAACAGCTGCATCAGCCCTTCACTCTTGTGTATATTCAAAGATGTCCAACAACCAGCCTCAAAGTATCCCAAACATCTCTCTGTCAGATCCCCCCAGGTTAACAGAAAGACCTGGATTCCAACCTTGGTTCCTCAAAGAGACAGAAATCATCTCCATCGTCCCAAATTTTTGTCGAACATTTCCTACTTCCACCAAGTTGAGACTTGTTTGAATGGCCACTGCTGCCTCCTCCTCTTCTTCCTCCTCCTCTTCCACCGCCTCCTCTTCCTCCTCCTCCTCCTCCTCCTCTTCCTCTTCCTCCACCTTTGTTGGGCTTTCCCCTTTTCCTTCCTGCTGAATTCATGTTCTCTTGCTGAGGAAGGGAAAAAAAATAGCCCTTAGTTATGAAGATGATTTAGCATACTGCAAGTGTTGGGGCATACATTACATTATCTGTTTTTCCATGTGACAAGAGAAGCTACCTTCTCAAACTGCAGTTAGTTATCTGTACATTGGTATTTGCATGCACCTGAAGCACAGCACATTCTTCTCGAACACTGTTAAACAAGTTCTATGGTTTTAGAAAATGAACATAATATTCCTCACAGCTGTTCAACCAGAAACTGCAGGACCTCTGGCCAAAGGATGAACCTGCCAGAAGTGCCACCTAGCCTGGGAGCTCCAGTTTTGCCGCTCTGATGGAACTTTCTTGGACACGGGAGCCCAAAGGACAAACCTCCAGGGGAACTTCCACAGCAGAAAGCAGCCTGCGCCCTGACGCTTTTCAACTCAGGAGTTTTGCAGGGCTGAGAGTTAAAGGTCATAGGTGAGCTGAAGCCAAAGATACAGTTTGTTTCCACACTAACCTGCTCCTGACCCATCCCCACCTGCAAGGAGCTGCCCAGATGGCTGAGCGCTCTGCGGAGCCTGGGCAGCAGAGTGACCAGGGACCCATCTTAGAGAACAAAAGTCCTCCTCTCCTTCTGACAGCAGGACCTTCACCAGCTCTGACACAACGAGCCCGTCCGCATGAAGCAGTTGTGACAGAACGTCCCAACGTTCACACACGCCCCCAGTACCACGCTCCTGCAGACGGAAAGCTGCTGCAGGGCCAGGCGAGCGCCTGTGGACAGCCTGGCAGGAGCTCCTCACCCGGGTCTGGGCACCGGCACCTCCA